TAACCTTCTTTCGGCGAGATCCCGAAATGAGAATAATATTAATTTGGTAATGAGTAAAAAATTCAAGTAAATCAAATTTTTAGTTTCTTAAACCGTTCCGCTTTCCAAGATAAAATCTTAATATATTTTAAGCGGTATTCATTATTTATTTACGGTTTTTAGTTTCTCGAATAAATCGCCTATTGCTTTCAAAATTTGATCAGTAACAGCCCCCAGTAAGAAAGACCACTACGGTTAATTATTAAATCATCTAAGTTAGTAAATGAAAAAAGTTTCCTATCTCAACTCGACAATTTGCGAGCGTAGTTCAGTCTTGATTCTACAGAACAACCTCTTATATTTTTTCCTTATTGTCAGTTCTTCCAGTCTTTTTCTAAGAGCGTTTTTAGGATGAAATATATATCTTCTGTATTCTGCAACGTGATCGCTACTACAGTTTACACATCTTGGTTTTCTATCCTTTTTTTTAGGCATAACTTTGTGGCGTGATCTTTACCGCATTTAACACATTTGTAGCAAGAGGAACAGAATTTTTGGCTATGTCCAAATCATTGGCTTCTAAAGCATTGGCCAATTAACCGCTATTTTTAAAGGTACCGCAAAGACTGTAATGTGGTCTATATTTTTTACATTATATATACTTTTTTAAAATTGAGATAATTTAATAAGAAACAAAGACATAGAGTTCTAAGTTTGTCATAGCGTCACATTCTGATGGTCACAAAGGATGGAACTCTTGAATTTCTAGCTCTTGTTTAATATATTCGGCATCTAGCTCAGTAAGAGGCCACGCTAGACCACCTTCATCTCTTTGCCAAAAGGAAACTAATAAGTATAAAATAATTCGTGACCATTGGCGTCAAGAAGGCTGTAAGTTTTCTTAAGTTATTTCGAAAGGTACCATAAATTTGACGCCATGTCTCGCATATTTAGCGGAGTTAATAGATAGGTTTTTAGCTTTAACTTGTGAGGATAAGAATTTTTAAACTAATTTATTACGAAGAATAATGGGGGGAATTAGAAGTTTTTATCATTAACACTACTAATATGGATATAAGTATTACTGTAATTATTATAATTCCTGTTTATATTTTTATATTTATTACAATTATTGTTATTATAATTGTTGTTATTATTACTACTTTATTATTGTGACTATTATTATTACTACTATTACCATTACTATTACTGTATTAATATTATTATCACTGTTATTATTAACAGTGTCAGTACTTGTACTACTATATGAAGTAATAATGAATTATTTTTCCTTTTTTCTTACTTTTAATTGGATTTAAGCTTATATCCATCAGTACGGTTTGAGCTTACGGGTTCGTATAAAACTGTTCTTTTCTTGGAAAAACAATAAATCAAAGTCCAAAATCTTTCTAGCCGAAATCCTTAAGGCTTTTTCATAAATTTTGAGTTTCGCGGGAACATTTTAAAGCCTTTTATCTCACACACCAGATATAGCTCTTGGGCGAATGTCAAGAAAGGTGTCTCTTCTATAACAGTTTAAGGTTATTTATGCTGTGCTCGAGGATTTCTTTTCAAAAGTAAAACTTGAGGTCAGTCTTTCTCGTTGACTTGTTTGCAGTTACTAGCGCAAAAGCTTTAACCACTGTAATAATCTATCTAATAACTATGGGCTCTCTAGGAACAATAAAAGCAAATTCGCAGAAAATAAAAATAAAAGGGAAAAGATAAAACGGTAGCAGCCGTGCATGAACTGCATTTATATAAGCACATGTAACGCGTCCTTTATCCCTCATAAACACTTGGAAAGTATCTCACTAGACAGCTTTTCAAAATTTTTCGTCTATAGCCTATGAGTGTGAAAACAAATCAGATCACTTAGTAATTTCGTGTCGTGTTGTGTTTCGGTAAGGATAGCTTGTTTTACGGACGGTTATGATTAATCTAAATTAATTTTTTCTATTCCCTTAGGTTCAATGTGAAGGCGAAATTTTGATTAGGATTGTCGTATTCATGGGCCAAGGGTTGACCGTTTTAATCCGAAGATTGCCATTTTTTAATTCAGTTAATTTTGCCGCTTTGCTCCGATTTGTACCAAACTTAGTAGGGCATTAAACACCTGTTTGTATCATTATATATTTTATAAATACCTTTAAGGATCTTGACGCATTAATTAGTTACGTTGTGTGTAAATATCGAATTACAGTTGCTTTACTTTAAACGGACATGCCCTCATAATAATTATTCTCACGATTTTTAGAAAGAGGGCCTAGTAAATTTATGTTAATTAACGCTGGTAATCCTCAAAACTCCTTTTAAGCCTATTCACCGTCTCCTTGTTCCGTCGCTACTAGCAAACAGTCCCCGCATTCTTTTCTTATTTTTTTGTTACACTGCCCGTAAAGAATACGCCAATTCTTAATATTTAGACGTAATACAGTTGGGTTGAAGTTAAAAGTTACCATTAAGAGGGCTCTATGGGTGCTCTATAATCGTCCCAATTGGGTGCTGTCGTTATAAGTATTCAGAGTGTCAAAGTCTACTTTGTAGAGTTCACGTTTAACCTCGGTAAAGATTCACTCGTTCCTCTTGGGCTTCACTTTGTTAAAAAGGAATTTAATGAGATTTCCGATTTCTCTCTATTTGGTTTCTAATCTTATCACAGGAGATATCAATAGAATGATTTTGTACTACTACATCTTGTTTATGTTACCTTTATTTCAACAACAACCTTCCGCTTACGGTTTTTTTTAGTTAAACAAATGGAATTCTACAACAACTTTCACAAGTATTTTCTGCTGCTCTGAGGAGGGATTTCACCTTTTATTACGTCTACCTACTACTTTACCTTCATGCGGTAGACTTTAGCTCAGATATTTCTAATGTTTAAACACCCAATATAAAATAGTGGTTGCATATGTTGATGACAAGCACATGACGGGGCTATAGTCATCTTCATTTACGTCTTTGCATTAGTTAAATTGGATTTACCTGTTTACCAGTTTGTTTGGTGCCAAGTTGAGATGGGTTTAAAGCATTATAATTGAATATATGCTCTTCTAATTTATTTAGTAAAGTGGGTTAAACTTTTATTCGATGGGGTTTAGTGGGCCCCAGCTTTCTCCCTTAACCCTCTCCCTAAATTGTTATGAAGGATGAGTTTGCTAGGGTTAGTAGGATCATTTACTTAACTCATACTAAGAGCGACCTGGAATGTGGTAAGGTTGTTTGTACACTTAAATTAATGAATATTATGCCTCTATATATCTAATTTTTTTGCCGTTTGAAGGAAGGAAATTGTTGAGGGGTTACTTTATGATGAATTTACTGTATGAAATCCTCTGTGTGGCAAAATGATATACCACCGAACGCGGTTAAATTACGATTGGTTATAATTAATAAATGTGAACAGCGTCATCCCCCCTTGTCCATCTAGCCTGAGGAGGTTAAATATTAAATAAAGAAAGGTAGAAAAAAGAGAGAGGCGTGTCGTTGGGAATAGGGCCCATAAACTTGAGTTTGCGCCTCAATTAAACGCTGTGCCACGACGAGAACACTGTCAGAACAGGTATGACGAATTTAAGTATTTAAGCAATTACCGCTGTTAAACTAGCTTGATTAAAAACTCTTATATATCAATTCTTTTTAGAAAAGATCGCGGTTTCCTCTCAGTGTTAGCTGTTGCACTCTCTTTATCTAGAAGACAAGTCAATTCATAGAGAGTGGTGTTTTTGGTCTTTACGGTTAATAGTGCGCTGATATCTACTCTTTAGAGGGCAGGAGGGAAATAATAATGTGTCTACCATGTAAATAAACAGTTTAATTTTTATACTGAACAGTAAAATTTATTTTATCTATAACAGATTAAGATTACTGAGGTGTTTCTTTGATCATATTTTTAGTAAATCTAATTTTTAATTTTTTGCCCAAACATTTCGTGTTTGTTGCGATGTTATGATGTTGTATTTTGTTAAATGTGTCTAGTCACACCAAGTTTCTTATCTCTGTATCCCAGTTTCAAGTACTAACGGTAAATATAAATATGGCATCCAAGTTCAGAGGATCAATAACTTGAATTATAATAAATATTTATAGAGAAGTAGAATTCCTTTAAATTTTTAATGAGGGACTCATGCATAAAATAATTTTGCTGGGTAAAATTCATATACTAACAGTTCGTAGGGCAAAGTTGAAATATTGCACCAGTATGCGTTTTAACTATCTGTAATCAGCATGCCAGCATATGTAATGTAACAAGTTAACATGTAAATCATCATACCGAAATTAAAGAGTTGTCGTCGTGGCTCAGCGGTTTAAAGCGTTGATACGTAAACTTTTGGGAGTGGATTCGTTTGCTACCGATGCGACCAGTACTAGTACCTAGTAACTAACCTAGTATAGTAAGTACACTAGTATCATACAACCAACACCGAATAACAGTGCTAGTTCCATATGACACGACAAATCAGCCAAGGTAGTTACTAGCAAAAGGTACTAGTACTATAGACTGAAAGATCACAGAAGTGCCGGCGAGCCTAGTCAGCTAGAGCCAATACGGTAACCGAATCGAGCATATTTAACAAAAGCCCAACTAGTACCCTCGCCTAGTCCCCCTTATACAAAACGACTTATTTCACCAAGCATAAAAGTAGGTCCCTAAGGTATTATTTTTTAATAAGGGAGGACCACAAGCAAAAGTAAGCCCAGTTAGTAAATGGCAGCCAACCAAATATCCTAACAGATTAAATAGATAACTCCATCATTTCGGGACTAAGAGTTTTCGTCGTTGCTCAGCAGTGAAGAGTAGTGACGCGCATACTCGAGTCCTTGGGTTCGATCCCACCGAGGCGACTCTTTCTTTGACCGTTGATGGTTGCATATTTTAACCTTGCTTTCATAAATTATAATAGATTTAACTAAATGGTATCCCTAGTTGCGGGGGATGAGGGAAGGGATAAGGGGAGGGGTTTAATTTATTCAATGTGGTAAATATGTAACTATGTAACGCTAAAAGTTGAAACTTTGGTGCGCTACTGTGGTTAAAGGTTAAGTAAGAATGTCGAGAGGTGCTGGCTATGATAGATATATAACAATTTTTTCACCGGAAGGTCGTTTGTATCAAGTTGGTAGGTTTATAAAACTTTTATTCAAATGAAACCTTAATCATTGAACTTATTTCCAAAGCGGTTTTTATAATTGCACTATAAGTTACTTTAAACTATTATATATAGAGTATGCAACCAAGGCTGTTAACACAGGAGGTTTGACTTCACTGGGCATACGCGGCTCAAATTGCTGTGTCCTCATAACCCAAAAAAAGATCCCTGTAAGTATTACCTTTATCCAATTTTTTATTTAAACAACTTAAGGTTAATATACCGTTACTATCAATTATATATTAATATTTAGAGCAGTTCGATCATATATTAATAGTCGTTTAAATAGGATAAACTTATAGATCCTTCTACCGTTACTCATATGTTTCGGCTAACTGAAACTATTGGTTGCGTTATGACGGGAATACTACCTGATGCTCAGTCACAGGTACAACGCGCCCGTTATGAAGCTCAGGAATTTAAGTATAAGATGGGATACGACATGCCTGCTGACTTGCTAGCAAAGCGGATGGCTGATTTAAGTCAAATATACACGCAACAGGCATCTATGCGCCCTCTTGGCTGCGGTTTGTCTCTTCTATATTTAGTGTATTCTCGGGACTTCTAAAGGACCACATCTCTTTGCTTATAAAAGCGATGATTATAATTGCGGTGGATGAGGAAGTTGGACCGCAACTTTATAAAATAACCCCAGCTGGTAGCGTGGCCGGTTACAAAGCCACTGCTTGCGGTGTTAAAGAACAGGAGGCTACCAGTTTTTTAGAAAAGCGAATAAGAAAGAATCACCAGTGGGAAGAGGCGGAGGCAGTTCGGGTTTATTATTTATTTCTTAGCTCTTAATACAAAGCTTTACTAAGGGCTAAGTAGATTGCCATGTCCGCCCTTTCACATGTGCTGTCAGCTGAATTAAAAGCCAATGAACTTGAAGTTGCAATTGTGAGTAAAGAAAATAGAAAGTTTCGTACTCTTACAGAGTTGGAAATGGAAGGGTATCTCTCGGCCATGGCCGAGCTAGACTAGATAATTTTCATTTCTTTTAAAATAAAGTTCAAGTAGATATTGCAATTTATTAGTTTAGATAAAAGTTGGGCTTACAGCTTTACCTCAGCGCAAGGTTAGGTAGATTATACGCAAACTTGTGGCTCTTACTTAATCGTAACCGTTCAGGTTGACTGTAAAAGTCAATGTGACATAGTAGTAGATGTACTTCGATAAAGTTTGAGACGGACGAAAATATTATTAACAAATTTAATAAAGTAAGTAAGCTGTGGGTAAGCGAGAGAGTGAACAATAAAGTGTGGGAAATTTTTTAAATTTAAAGGACCATATCCTTAAAAGAGTGCAAGAGTCGCATGGCTACCGTTAACCATTAAAAAAAGGCTTTTCATAGCCGTTATTAAAGCCTAAACTCAACTATAGTCCTTCAATTCCGAGCTGCTCTCAATGGCAGATCTTTTATGTCCTAGTGTATTATCTTCAGGGCCAACAGCCTGAGCAGGTCAAACAAAAACATCCTTTCACCAGTAACTAAAATGATTCTTTTATAGAAACCTTGCGTTTCTTCTTTAAGTCAACGGAAGTCTGGTAGGTTAATGTGATAATGTTTTCTTGTAAACTGTTCAAGTTAGTTTCCTGCCTCTACGCAACTGTCATGAAAACTAAAAGCAATATCTGAGTTAAAAGCGGCTTACTTCAACTAGTAGTTTAGTCCTGGAAATCTGCAATTCACAGTGTTTTTGTAGCTCCTGTATAACTTCGAATAGTCCAGATAACATGGAAATCTAGAACGCAATCCGAAAGGAAAGAAACCATTTTATAGAAATAGAAGTAATACAAAAGCAAAGGCGGCAGTGTAGATAAACCTGCCGTAAAAGTGAATCTCTAAAACTTGCGACTGTCATCGTGGCACTCTGTAGCTTATCCAACCAAACATTTGCAGCATCACTTTCTAAAATTTAATAAAAAATTAACTTGCTGGATAAATTAAAGCCCTTTGGCAGAATAGAAGTAATAAGGAATAAAATTTAACAGTTTAATACAAATATTACGTTTAAAAACTCAAGGTAGCGTAAGTTATAAAGTTTACCCTTATGCAACTTTTCTTTAAACTAGTTTGACACCAAAAAAATATTAAAAAAGGTATTCGCACCATTTATAGATGAAATATATTCCTTTGAATAGACCAATTCAGAAATATCATTCACTTTTCCAGAAAGACTAAGGTTTTTCAATAATTCCTTATTTAATTCAACAATTTTTTTATCCAGAATATCCTTTAATAAGGTAACTATCAACTATAAATAACTTTTAAAAAGTTAAATACTCTAGGAAATTGGTCAAATGCTTTTTCTAATTCAATATTTTCTTTACTGCCGTTTTTTTGTCCATAGCCAGTTTTTTCAGGGCCTAGTAGGTATGGTTAAAGTAGCAAAAGTATTATAAACATTGACTAAAGACTAGGTAGAATAAAAGAAGCAAAGTTTTTTTATAATAAAAAGGCTAAGAGAGGTGAGACCTGTGTTAAAATATTGAAACAGCTCTAATATTAAGTTTGTGGCAACAACGTTTCTCTCTTGCCAGACCAATAATAATCTGAACACTTTCTGCACAAAAACTGTTCCTTTACAAATTTTTGCGGTGTGTTTAAATATAGGTAACAGCACTTCAGAAGAAAATGAATGAGAAAATTCGGGACCATTCTTTTTGCCTCTTTGCAGAACATCATTAAACAAACAAAGATAAGTGTAAAGTTTTTCTGGATCATAACTTTGCAAGGCGGTTGATAGACAAGTTTGCGCAATTTTTTCTGAAGCCCTTCTATGGTAAATAATCCAAGTAGCTACCATCTGAATACTTACCGCGGTGTTGGTTAAAGTTGCGAGCTTGGCAACTAAATTTTCTTCTTGAAAGGTCATTATATAACTTTTAAATTAAGATTGAGTTGCAAAAAACTTTGTTGAAATCTTCATAGGCTTTATTGTTCCACTCTTGCTCTCATTCTTTTAACTGACCTTTAAAAAGCTAATATAGGAAATTTTGAAAGAAAAATTCATTAACAAAGACACATCGCTATTTGGTTAGCTAAGGCTTTAAGTTTAAGAAGCCTAAAACCCCTTTGAACCCCTCTGTAAAAACTTAAGGGCTTTAGAACAAAGTTTGACGCTCTAAAAGTGTAAGACGCGATATTAATTTATGAATAAACTTTTTAAAAACCACTACGTGGTATAATATATTTTTAAAATACATGTAAACTCTAAAGTATGATTGATTTTCTAAGTTCATTTTACATTACAAAATGTCAAAATAACTGTTAAAAATTTAATACTAAGGTATTTTAATGCTAAGAAAAGCCTAAAAAATTGTTCGTCACATTAAAAGAGAATGCCCACCCCGAAGAACATAATTATACTTATGAAGGTAATAAGTCCTGAAAAAAAAAATTTACAAGATTAAAATTCATAAAAATCAAGACACCGATAAACGGTAAATTAAGGTAGAAAATTGGATATATAAATTGGAATTTAAGAAAAACTAAACCCGTATTTTTGTTTAGGTATGAGTAACTAAAGGAACATGGCACGATGTAAACTTAAACGATCTTAACTTACGTTAAAATACTGGAGCAAGGCTATACGTGATTCGGTATTCATAGATAACAAATCTCTCAAAAGGTTATAACCGTTAACACCAAACCAAATATAAGGCTCAAGATGTTGAAGCCTAGAATCATACAATTACTAGGCTGCAAAGTATTAGTATAAGATAATAGATATGAAAGGAAGTCTGATATAGAACTTTCGAAGGTATACTGGTGTATAAACCTCCCGACCCCACTGAATATAAGTATTCAATACTTGGATCTACATACAAATAAGGTAATAGAGGAAGAGATATCGCTTGCTATAATAATATATCCTATAAGCGCCACAGCTCTTCCAGAAGATAACATATAACAGCAACTAATACTTAAATGCAGGATGATAAAAAAAGAAGTTCTGGTGCAATAATATAGATAACTGATATTACTTCAAGCACTCAAAACCAAAACACAAAATATGCTGCGAGAGGTGAATAAAAATAAAAAAAATCTGACCCAATAAAAATATCTAGCTCTTCCATAAAAAAGACAAATACGTAAGATTATAAATATTAAACTTTAAAAGTTTTTGAAAGGACAAGATTAAAGGCGCTAGTCGTCCATTCTGTCAATTAAAAAAATCCTTGGGTTGCTAACTGTAAAAACACTGTCAATGAAAAAAGAAAAAAAAAAGGGGGGACGGGGGTTTTAGTTAATTATAGGTAATCGAGTGCCTTTTCAAAAGGTTAAAATGAATTTTATAAATGAATATATTTGTTTAGATTATGTTTAAGATTATAGGTATAAAATTTTTAATCTGGTTCTGTTTTAAAGACAACTTTAAACTAGAAATTGCCGAATTTGTATATGATGGTGAATGGTTATAATCTCTCTGTTAAAATATTTAAAAAGATATTTTCTCCAAAAAATTTTTTGTAATGTATATAAATAGTTTATTCTTTTAAAGAGTTTTGTAAGGATAATTGTGTTCGTGTGTATGTGCTAGTGTTTTGCATATATTTCTTTATGAATGTCTCCTTTTAAACTTTTGTGTGCGTCCACAGCCGACTCTAAACGATATTGTAGTACCCTACACAGCTGCCTAGAAAAGGTTAATGAGCCGGTAATTGCAAGGCACACATACTTGTTGCCTGCCTTGAGTAACATTTAAACCTCTCTCGTTTTATATCCCGAAGGTCATTTCCAAGTTATCGAGGCACCATAATGATCCATGCCGCCTCTGGTAATTGTTTTAAGATCAGGTAAGGTTAGTAAGTCATTATTAAAAGGCGCCTTTCACATCAGTGATTATTAATAGGGTCTCATCTGATAAATAAAAAGTTTAAGCCGATACAAAACACAAACAAAAATATAAAAATGAAAAATAAAAATTGCCGAATATAGAATGGTCATAGCAGCCAGATTATTGGATGATAAAAATTTTTTTGTTAAAATAACCACCAGCACTGCTCACTAGCTCGAAGTTCATTGGTCATAGTTTTCAAAAAAAAATTTTATATAAAGAGAGGAGAACTAATAAACAGACCTCTATAGCAATTCTTTTTATTAATTTTATTAAAATTTTTGATAGACAACTCCAAGGAACCAGTTTTATTAGTTGTAACTCGACTTCTGCATTTTTTTGACAGTTGAAGAGGTAAACGGCGAGCACGGGGGAGCAGGAAGATCCTCAAAGAGCTTTCTTTGTCTTCATCGTTTTCAACTATATAGTATCGCCGTTGCGAAGTAGTGGCCGAGACTGGAATTTAGAGCGCCTCTAACTTTTCCGAAAGGCTGTTTAGGGGATATGTGTCCTCAAATGCTTTCGTTGCGTTAATATGAGCTGCTGTCACCGCACGTATAAAGTCGGCAACAGAATTATTTATTAAAGCGGGAGTTTCAAGTAGTTTCAGGAATAAAGGAAGCGCCTTCTTAAGCAGTTCGGCGAATTTATTCCATTAATTGTATAAACCGGGAAAAGAACTTTAATGCTTTCGAGCAGGACAAGGCGTTTGCTCCAATGATAGTCTTTCCTGCATTCCCATAGCATTTAAAATGTATATACCCATTAAAACGAAGATATGTAGCACATGCATTAAGCCCGACTTTCTTGCAGTGGTGGTAACTGTGGGTCAATATCTTCAAGTTGCGTTTTCCATTGTAAGTCTTTAGGACGTAGAGCGTTTTAATTTAAACCTAATTTATTCCACGCAGGCATGCAATCACGTAACGAGCCTCGCTTCGTTTAATAACCATAGCATCGCTACCGCCGCAAGTATAATGTATAAGTGGTGGTGAGGCGTTCGAGGTTTTAAAAACCGTTACATACGGTTGATAGACCCTTCACGGTCTTGATAATGGTTGAGATAATAGTAACTGAATTGCTAACAGTTGCCGTGTGGGTTATGTAGTTTGTCCTTGCCTTCTTGCTGTTGCTGAGTAACTGATTTTGTCTAATGAACGTGATGATTCAAATAAAAAAGGTTAATGTTTTGGAAGAAAATTTTTTTAAAATTTAAATTTTTAAAAACTCTGATCTCAGAGCCACTCCAGTTATCATACATGGATTTGTGTTTCTTAATTTACTTGTATTAGAACTTAATACTTAATATTTCTGTTTGGTCCCAGTCCAGCCATTGTCCATGAAATTAATTTAACTGCTGTTATAGTAATTTGGTTATATGATGGTAAACAATCTGGTAAAGAAGAGTGTTAAAACTCGATACATTTATAAATAATTTCTTGCCCTGAAGGTGGACGAGCGCTTTTTGAATGTCTAACAATTTGTAATTGATCGTTGGTGCTTAACCAAGAACTACGGATATTCAAGTTCTCGAGAAGTTGCATGCATCAGCCATAGAGGTTATGGAGAGATGGGTAATGGCATCAAAATATTTAGCACTGGAATTAAATAATAACGTTTGCATTTCATTATTGATTTAAGTTATTATCTGTATATTAAAGCCCCTCTCATATGTAAATACAGTCGTTCTATCTTTAAGAAAGTTAGCTTACTTTTATTTAGTATTGACCACTAAGATTGAATTTATTTCACTTGAGATAATAAACACGTAGGCAGGAACCCTTTTATTCTTAGTTTAAAAATAACAGATATTCAGAGTGTGTAATGCGGAGCCCATGGATTAGAAGTTAGCTCTTTTGAATTCTTCCCGAGATCCGCCTTTGGGGTACAGGTAATCATTTATCTAGGTATCAAGTCCTAAAAAGGTTAGTGCTACTGGTTCAGTACGGGCATAGGTATAAAATGAGCCGTGCTTTTCGCAGAGTTTATTCTAACCCTCCATTGACGGGGCCAGTCGGTAAGTGCGTTTAAATAATTTGAAAATTTCTGGAACAATAGAAAAAAACTGCCATAAGTAAACCTCGATATCATCTGTATGTATAGGCCGACCCAAATGTAAGTCTTAAGTCGGCGAGGGCCCGCCGCTAACATAGAGTGCAAAGGGCAATATTGAGAGTAGAGACCCCTGCGAACAACCTACAGCTAGAGGCCTTAGAGAAGATTGCACGGCACCCACACGCGTGCTAAGTCTTAAACCCGTGGTAAAGTCCACGGTAGATGGCTGTAGCGCGAACCTTCGGCAAAACTTGGTCGAACTTTCTCAACCTCAATGAAGCCGGCACCAGTGCTCTTTTTAAAAAAAAAGTCAGGGTGTCCACCTATCCGACGGAAAGTGGTAGCGTCGTTAGATGTTTTTTGTCGGGAAACGATCTAGAACTCGGCGAACAACTTTTTTAAATGGTGCGGTTTGGCCACTAGCTAGCGGGAGGCCTCCACAATAGATCGCGTTGATCGCGGTGTTTTCGGCGGCCTAGACCAAGACCATAAATGACGAGACACTCGCACTGATGACATTTACTCTACCATCTCTATGATTACGAGCTTTCTTTCTCAATAAAGCTAAGAATCGCGTTGTCTTGGTCAGAGCTTCCTCAAAATCGGTAATAGCGTTGTCTAAGTTCCTTTGCTGAGATGAAAATTTCATTGGTCCGCAGGATCAAAGGGAGTATAGATATAGAGCGGAGTAACCTTAACTTTTCTTTTATTTATTTGGAATTTTTGACTTAATTTCATCTAATTTATTCACGCTGCTACAAATTATGCTGCTCATCTATCTAGTTCCGTAGTCAATTCGGTTTCCTAACATTAATCAAATAAGGCGACGTGTCTGAAACCCAAAAACCATTGCAAAGTTGCCGTAATGTCGCTGCTTTCGCTAGTTAGCTTTTTTTGCACTAATGACGAACATTGAATGCACTGGAAGTGTAAGAGATATTTGGGGCAACAGTAGAGGCGAATTAAACATTGTGTTGTGGCAGAGAAAATAGATCGGCTAACGCAGGCCTTCGCGGGTAAAATTTGCAGCAGAAATGGTGGACATGTGCACCCTTACGCAATTTGCACACTTGAAAAACTGACTTGTGCTTTAGCGCACTACACATTTTAGTAATCCTTGCAACATATGACGCACGGAGGGAACAGGCAATGACACTGCCAACGCGAATGCTTGCGAAGCTGTCCACCCTGGTTTTAAAACAAAAAATGCACCCGAAGTGTATGCACCAGTTAATTGTCAAAATTTTTCTAGAATTAAAGTCAGAGTTAACGTCATACGTATTAGGTCTCACTACTAATAATCTTCTGTACCCTTAATTTGGGTGTTCATTTTTTGGAGTCGTGGGGAATCTGGCGCCCCTTGCATTTAGGGTCGCTGGAAGAGGCTACTTCCTCCCTTGGAGATTGAGGCGTTTGCAAAGGACAAACTTAAAAGACTTGTCCTTTGGTAAAAAGTGGAAGCGCCTCAGTGCATTTTATGCACTTCGAAAAATCTTGACTTGCTTAAGTTTTACTAATTGGAAATCACCTGAGATTTTTTATTTTCGAGGGTTTGGAGGAAATTCAGCGACAAAGAGTAAATTGTTGTTGCCGAGGATAATACGGGCATTAATAAGAATACTACCCAACGCTACCTTAGCAGAGAGTTCATTAAGGTCCACTCTACTAAAAAATATACCAACACTAACATATACTGAATAACATACACATACACTGAAACAAAAAGCTAACCACACGGAAATGAAATCTTAAGACAGATCAATTAACATCATCAACTAATACTTAAAATAAACACACTATTAAACTTTTTGACATGAACTATGCTAACCAATAACTATTATATACAAATATGGTAATGATCGAGTCTAACATTGTTCTTCAACGAAATCGAATAAACGTTAATTCGAAAAATCATTACTTTTAATCCAAACAAACATTCATAAATGAATTTTTTTTAACTTTTGGAAAAAGTATATAAATGGCTTGCTCGCCTATAATATAATTGCCTTTAAAACGAATAGAAAGACCTTTTATGCTGAGGAGGAAAAAACCACTTATCTGGCCTCGCCTGATGTCAGCTATATGAGCTTACAGCATACGATTTAGTTGACACCAAATTTATTGAAACATTTTAATTAATATATTAATTTTTTTGGAGAATATATATAAAATTTTACGATTAATGAATCAGAGGGTTTTTCTCTTTAAGTTTGTTTTATTGCCAGCATTGTGCGCTGGGTTTTTTACCCTTGCTCTCGTTTACTATCTACGGACTAGCAATTTATAGAAGTATCGCAGAGGATTTGGTTTGAAGAAAATCCTTGTAGACAAACTAACTAAAGCTCCATAAATATTACAACAGTTAACTTTAATAAGCTTGACTTGGAGCATGTAAAAAGGGTTCATGACGTTGTCGATAGCGCCCTTTCTAAAATGAAAGTCCTTTGCAATATGCTCCACGTCAGAGGAAAAATATCGAAAATCATTGAGTCGATTAATGTTAAAAAACTAAAAATCTCGATTCCTGGAAAACTCTAAAAAATACTTAACAACAAAATCTCTTAGGTAGATTAGAAATAGCATGAGCCCTCTTTTCAGAACTCTTCGTCCTCAACCTCTAATAACTTGCAGAGGTGTTTTCATTCCAAAGTATATGGCAGGAAAAGTCATTTAGTTAATAAATTTCGTTCTATCAGACTTATGTTGTTCCTGAAAAAGTGTCAGAAGCGGTTATCCTCAAGAGGTTACAATAATCGTTTCTAAAAAAAAAAAATTAACGATAATCAATTCGGCTTCAAACAGAACACTACAAGTTATCAGCTTTTAAGGTTTCTGAGCACGTAACTAAAGTCTTTAGTGATAAAAAAAAGTTAACAGTAACCGTATTCTTGTATCGAAAAGGTGTTATCGTAATATGGGTTGCTGTGCATGGTAGTTGAATAAGACATACCAATTTCGTTGATAACATTTTTGCACCCGTTTCTTCTTAATCCGGAGGTTTATAGCCAAAATAGGCGAGGTGAAAGTTAATTCCATTCATAAAGACTAACTGCCGGGATCTTTATTGTCACCCTCACTGTTCATAATATAAGTATCCGATAACCCAGATTGAGCACAGTTTTTATCGCTCCATATGCTGACGACCTCGTCCTTTATTTTAGTTCTTTTAGTTCTCAGTCACCACCTTAAGCTACCCGGCGGATTGATTACATGAAAAATGAATATAAACCTATTATAAAGCAGTATTGTAATCTAGAAGACGAAAACCCCCCAACATTCTAAAACACTATTTGGCCACATTATCCCGTGGAAGATTCATACCAAGTACCTAGGTGTTAAAATAGATAACAAGTTTACTTGGAAAACTCATGTGGGTTATGTCATAATGAAAGCGGATGATGAGGCAAGTTCGTATTACCCTCTCTGCCGCTAAATCGTAACAAACTTCTCCTCTACACGGTGTATATACAAACGATATTCCGTGTGCCCTAATAGCTTGGGCCTATTTTTCGTAGGAAAACCTTTAAAGAGTACGATTATTCCAAGGAAGATGATTGCGAATGATTACTTATGCTTCTTGGTTTTGAGCAATAGTAAGCTACATAGAGACTGTTAGTTGGAACCTATAGATACCCTTAAAATAAATCTCTAAATGAATGCAGTCAACACACCAATATATGCTGGAAGCTAAAATACGATCTCAGGTGGTATACTAAATACAAGCACCGATATGTACTAGTCAAAAGCTAGTAAAAAAATATATTGGGAAGCTAGGAAGGTATAAACTGAATAATGTCTTATTGTTCATAAGCTAGTACCCGCGACCTATTTTTTTTTTCTTAGTGGTCAAGATTAAGCAGTTAAGGATTTTGTGACCTCTCATTTAGAATGTCATGTTTATCGTTCTAGCCCTTACTGTTTTGGTGCTACTAGTATCGGTCTCTAATTACTATATATGTTGCTATTATAAATTTTTAACACTCAGGTTTTTAGCGTCATTACTAGGAGTTATCTATACGTCTTTGTTATTTCTACAAATATATTACAATTATTAACTATCACTCTATTAATTACTATCATTGTAAGTTTTATTAATATTATTGATGTTACTGTTATTAATTTTAAATAAAATTTGAGTGCCATTTTTTGATATTAGTACAAAGATGTGCCCCCATTATAACTTTTTCTTCACAGTGCTAAGGTTCGTTAAGTAGTTGGCGACTGAGCAAAGAAGTACTATTATATAGTTAAAAGGGGATTCACAGATGGTCCCCTTGAAAATTTAGTTAATTTTCGATACTTCAATATCCTTTGGTTGTGTATATACAATAATTGTTTATTTGGAATCACCCAGTAATTACCAGTAAATTGCATCTGCCTTCTGCTGGTCGACTCCCAGTTAATGTAGGGCCGATTGTGCTTAAAAATTTCATATAAACCATTAGACAAGTGCAAGTTTGAAAGTGAACTTTTAATAGCTATTCTGTAGTGCCGACTAAATAACTGGGAATATATATGCTTCTTATTATTATTACCTTCTTAGCAATGCGCATTTAACTTATAAACTTGGTTAGTCTTATAGGGTCTATACTTTAAACTTAATTTAACGGGCACTAACATTTTTGTTGCCCAATAAGGTTATAGCAAGCCAATCCCCTGGCAGGAGGAATTAGGTTTCGTTATATTCTTCATAATCAAGAATTTCTTTACTTTTGTGCTTGACTGTTCTGCTTAACTCTCTGTTATACCCTATTTTGTTCTTATAGTTTTATTTTAATATAATTTGTCTTTTCATATATTCTGTTTTTACTACTTTTGTTTTAGGTTGCCTCAATATTTTTATCACGTTTCTCGCTCTTTTAATCTCCATAGAACGTTATAACCTTTACTTGGATCATAACTTAACTGTTTTTACTGTTTCATCTCTAGTTACCCTCCAATTTGTTTTTAAATGACTTTGGGTTAGTATGTTTACCCGTTCTGTTATAGTATTTTTGGAATCACTTTAAAATACCTACGGGTTTCTGTATTCACCCTTAAGAGTGTTTGTAAAACCAAGTATTGGCGAACAGTCGCAACAGATTATTTTGGCACTTAAAATGCACAGTAAACCCAAGCAGAAGAGTACAGGTTAAAAGAGGACGAATTAACGCTTGGTACCTTGTTACCTAGTTTTTTTTATGAAACTTGCTCTTTAAAAGAAGTCCAAATTTTTTTTTGCCGCAGCCAGTCTTCTCGCCTTGCTTAGTAAGTAATCACGTTTCTTGCATTTTTCATATTAAGAATGCTGCTGTCAAACATTTAACTTTACTAAAATTCTACTCATCTGAACTTTAATTTTAGATCCTTCCGTAGACACTGCATTCTAAAAGGTCGTTTTATTACTTGGGAACCAATACCGATTCTAAAGCCAACTACGATGTGACCGTAGAATAGTTAAATCGTTGTCAGGTTGCTTTTTGCTATTCCAAGAGGAATGTTTTTAAACAGCGACAATAGCTGAGACAGTGTTTTTTAACCTCATGTATCAAGTAACTTTTAAAGTAAATTCCTATAAGGGAGCACATATGCTGCAGTTATTTCAGTTCTTCCGTGGGCAACCGCTAAGATGAAATAATCTTTAATATTATAATTCAGCTCAATGCGGGGATTGCACTCAACTCGAAAGAACAATTAAACACCCCTTTATTGTTATATCATTTCTTAAGCATGTTATTATACTTTCTTTTAACAAACTCACCAAATTTTCTCAAATTGTTGCAAATTTCATGAGCATTCCAAAAAAATTATTTAGAGCCGAAGTGTTGAAAGTTTCGAATAGTTCATTTTGTAAGTCGTTATAACATTTCACTTAATCTGCCAGCTGAGTGGAAAGCAGCATAACAAATTTAGTAGTATGGATTGGTCTATCTATTTTTTAAGTAATTACAAGAATGAGAGTTTCCAAAAAGGTCCACTTTTTTGTTAGAGGGTTCCGAGTTTACTATATTTATATCGCCAATAAGAGTTTTTTCTCCTATTTTTAAAGCTTGCAGCTTTACTCTTCAAATTACTTTCTGTTCTTTGCGTTAACGGTCCTTTGCATCGATCGTTTCAAAAAAAAATACACGCAACCTTTATAGTTAGTTCTACAGTCCCTCCCCCCCCATCTACAGTTAGCACATGCACAAATTAGAATTCAGCGGAGGTCCCTCGTGAGGGAAATGTTCTTATCGACATTTACACTGTGCTTTTTCATGTTTAAAACGACCATATGAGAAACAGGGGTAGCACTTAATAATAAAGCTCTTTCCCACAAAGTTGCTCTAATCCATAAAAAATATATTTATCAGATTAAATAGCTTACATAAAACAAGGGATTTTTCACGTAGTGATCCCTTTTCCAACCTCAATACTTTGTTGAGAATAAATTCTAGATCTTCTAGGTTATCAGAAAAAATGCTTTCAACTAGTTCTATGATAAAACTTTTTACTGCTGGATTTAAAAACTATTCTTCAGGCAGTTAAGAGTATAATCGCATTTTTTGGCGTCAAAAAGCTCCAAATATCTACATAGTCACCTAAGGAAGAGGCCAAATTTTAATTGTAACCTTACTTATAGTTAAATTGGTATTTTAATGTTCCTAATAAATTTTTTTTTTGGCCATTAGCCTTTTTCTCTAACTTTTTGTTGGTTGTCTAGTTCTTTATCTACTTTTATAAGGTATTCAACATCTGAAATATTTTCAACATAAATAGCAGTAAACCTTCTAAGCTTTTTAATTAGAGTTAGAAACTTTTCATACGTGTTAAAGTTAGTTAAATTAAACAAAAATATTTAAGAATATTCTACGTCTCTTCTGATTTCCATTTTTTCATTTTTCCCTCAACTGCCAGTTTTTTTTAGCATAGTGTGCTCTTCTCTCCGTTTTCAAAATCTTTGAAAAAAAATGGAATAATGAAAGTATTTATTAGTAATTAATATGTAAATAAGTAAAATACAGCAAAACGGTAACAAAAAGTTATGGGTGTTGGTCACACCGAAAACCTGTGAGTTTGAGTTCCCCAAGTGGTCAACCTCTACTAAACAGCTACACGTGAAAATTTAAGAAAGCTGTCTTTGAATATAGTTCACTTTTTAAAGTTTATCACCTAACAGATGTCGCTAGTTTGATGTCGACGTAAAATGGTGTGTGCTAAATGTGCTGTTTAAATCTGATACCATACTTTATTTTACTTAATGTAGTTTTAATAAAAACTAGTTAAGAAGGCAGTTAAGGCTCCGGAAAGAATATCTTTATAAGAAAGCTATAGAATACGATAAAAAGCAAAGAAAAAAGAAAAAAGAAATTTTATTGAAAGCAATAAAAGGTATTAAAAAATGTCGTTTTGTAAATTAGCTTTTAAGCTTGTAATTCTATATATTATGTTTTAATTCTCTTATGCAAGATGAAAAAGCAATTCCCCCTGAAATTAGAAAGGAAGAAGCTGAATTAAGGCACGAGATTGAACTAGAAGATGAGAATACGTCAAGTAATGTTTTTACTTTATAATTTTTTTAAAGTATTTTCTGTAAGGAATGTAAATTTATTCTAAAGCTGTTTATGAAGCCTTATTTAAACCTACGTTGATCTTAGAACTAAAGGACCACATCGATGATGAATACGCTTTTGCAGGCGTTAAAGATCCCCGAATCGTCATCACTACGGCCAGAGATCCATCATCTCGTCTAGCCCAGTTTGCTAAGGTGTTTAAAATCAAATTTACGTACTGCTTTACTTGTTAGAAATTAGTAGGTAGCTTGCTAAACGACTTCTTTTTCCCTTCAATTTGGCTTACTTATCTTATGTATTCTATAAACATATCAATTAAGGAAGTAAAGCTTATATTTCCTAATTCTCAACGGGTGAACAGAGGAAATTATGTTTTAAAAGACTTGGTAAATGTTTGCAAGAGTAACGAGGTTTCTGATCTTTTAGTGCTACACGAACACCGAGGGGAACCTGGTAGTATTTAAATTTATAACGCGGTAGTTATAATTGGTATTTTAAACGCAGACGGCTTGGCCGTATGCCATCTGCCGTACGGACCCACCGCCTACTTTACGCTTTCGAACGTCGTTATGCGCCACGATGTGCGCGAGTTGACTTCAAAGATATCAGAGGCGTACCCTCACTTAATATTCGAAAATTTTCAGACTTCTCTTGGTAAAAGAGTAAGCCATATGTAACTAGCCTACTAGCCTTTCTTATTTTTTAAAATGCAGGTCGTCAATATATTTAAATATTTGTTCCCCGTACCAAATAATTCCAAAAGGATAGTGACTTTCTCTAATAGTGATGATATTATTTCTTTTAGGTAGGATTTTCTTTAAAACTTTTTTACTTTTTTAACGTCTTCCTCAGGCATCACATCTACTCTAAAAACGGCCATGGAGGTGTTGATATAAAGGAAGTCGGCCCTCGAATGGAATTAAAACGTAAACTACCGCTTTTTAGCCTTTCTCAGCTTTATTACTTGTTCTCTTTACAGTGTACCAAATAAGGCTAGGTACCATTGACCAAACCGAAGCAGACGTCGAATGGGTAGCTCGCCCGTACATGACAACAACAAAGAAACGTTCTTTTTTATAAACTATCTAAATCCACAGAAATCGCAAAGGGAAATAAAGAAAGCTAGTAAAAGGCTTTATTTAGTTTAGCTTCCAAGGCATATCCCTTTTTACTTTAACCCACCCATCCTTAGGCAGTTGGCTCTTTAGCATTACCATGAAGCTACCAGTTATATGTTAAAGTAAGAAAGTATCCCATATCGCCTAGCAGCACTAACTTACTCTTTTTGCGAAAATTGTGAGTCATCAAAACCGTAAATCGATCGAGCAAAATCGTTAACAAAACGGAAGATGGCAGAGGCCGGCATGTAAGAGTTTTCCTATAATTTAAAGTCTTAGCATGATAGAAAGAATAGCCTTATTTCTCTGGTATCATACCACGTATCTTTCGTGCACCAGCAGTATTAAGTCGTGACAAGCCTCTCCTCAATTTTAAGAACTACATAAGTAAAGATAAGCCTGGTGTACTTGACGAAAATAATACCTTCTTTGGTTAAAGGAGGCTGAATATAAGGCGTGCTTACGAAACAGTAGCCTAACCTAATTGTTATAAAGATAATTGACGTAATATATATTTAATCTCAGTTGCAACCTTTGCAGAACACGATGCCTTAGATTAGAACTCATTATTTCATCTTCAACTGAATGTTTGTTTGTTTCTGCAAAGACATACAATTTTTTGTACTCCCCACAATTTTTCTTTTTTCAGATTGTGACTCTATAATACTCAAAGCATGCTTTATAATTTTATTGTAATACTTAAATTACAACGTAAGGAACAGAAATTTGGTTATTGTTACCTCGTGCAAACACGAAACAATGCCCTTCCGTCTGTGTTCTCTGCCACAAATAAGATACGAAACCAGCCCTACGTTTTCGTTAGGGTAATATTCGAATACAGCACCAGCTAAAATTTTGCACAGACAGGGAATTGGTTCTTTATTAATAGAGTAACTAGAACTTTTTTTCTCAAAAAAAGGATCGCTGATGCTAGAATCAAAAACTTTATTCATAATAACATCCTCGTCAATTCCGTTTATATATGAAAAATGAGGCCTTTTTTCAATGGGCAATAAACTATTGTACTTTATTGCATGCAAAAGGCAAGGTTCGGAGTTGTTAAGGTTAGTAAAATCTAAGGTCAGAAGAACGTGCAATTCAGGCATCTTGAAATTACTTGTAGCTTTTTCAAGCAGCAGGCAGCTTTCTAAAGTCTACATTACTAAAAAGCTAAGCATACAAAACTAATTCATAAAAGAAGTAAACCTCATAGTTGTCTAGCTCGTGTGCAATAGGGAAATTAGGAATCAATAGCTCTTGATAAAACTTTTTAAGAAGGATTTTACAGAAGCTTTTACGTAAGTTTATTAATAAAAAAAGGTTTTCTCCCTCTACCGGGGTTATCTTTGTAAAGGACATAGGTAACAACCTTAATCGGTCTCTAAAGCTTTTAAATCCCTAGTTTCCTGGAATGTATCTGCTCCAGCGCAGCATGATCATCTGCCACGTGACTAAGTTACACATTTGGTTCGTTGAAAGTTAGAGGGCGTACGCCTACTTTAGTGAACTATATGCGTCTGTTAATACATAGCTAGCAACTACTCACATAAACCAGACTAAGAATTTATAAAGTATTATAAGGTTTGTAAATACTCGCTTATATAACGCAAATTATGTTAAAGGGTGAAGGGTAAAGCAGGTTTATAAACCTGTTTCTGCTTCCTTTTCCAAAAAAAGACAACAAAGCGTGGGCCAATAAAAAAGTTCTTGGAAAAACAATCATATATATAGTACTGAACAACCATTTACATTATAAAAACATATTATGAGCGTTGGCGTATGGTTTATATCCGCTTGGAGGCATTAAAATTATTTTTAGAAAATTAACCCCTTTTTTTGAAAACAAATAATATAATATATAATGATCTATAGGTTACAACTAGGATCCATGTCATTGAAGATGACTCCATTTAGTGTACCCGCGTCGAGATTTTTTCAGTAGTAATTAATTTCCTCGAACCGAAGCCTTAGTGGTATGGTGGAGTTAATAAATTTTTATATTACTTCTTAAGTAAATTAATTAATAGTTTATACCTCGGCTGTAATAATGTTGTATGGCTAACGAAAAAAAAGAAAAAAATCAAAAAGTAAGGTAGTGTTTAGTTATTTTTACACACCTTAAAGAAGCAGGAAATCGTTTATTAAGTTAACATGACCTAAAAAAATTTTTAACGGAAAAACAAAAGTAACCAAGTGAGTGCCCTACTATAAACCTTAGCAAACTTTACTCAACGTAGAGCAAATATATTTTTTATCCTTAGGCAATATAAGGAATGCAACCTAAAAAAATATTATCTAACAGATCTAACAATATAAAGATATTAATATAAAGACAAGCATTTATACTAAAATTCCTAACTCCTCAAGTGGGGAGTGCTGGTTAAGCGTTAAACCTACCTATAGAACTGGAGCATAGTATGTCAGTAATAGAAAAATAAAGGAAGTTATAGATTTTGTATCTTTGCTCTCTCTTTTTCTTTTTTAAATATTTTCTTGCGGTTTTTGTCTCCTTAGTATATTATTAATCTTTTTTAGTTACTTGACCTTTTTATTAAGTTTAATTATCTACACACATTTAATGTTTGTTTATTTATATTTCTTTTACATAAAAATAATTAAAAAACCTATTAATAAACCTATTTTGGCGATGTAACTCCTTGTTCCTGTTATTTAGCCACATAAAGTATAGGCCCTTCAAAGTTAAAACAGCAGTGATGCTGCCGAGGGCTTTCACATAGCTCTACGATTTTACAGTTTCACGGGCAGCTGACGCGATCTAAAGGTTTCACTGAGGTCAAGTGTAGGGCCATCAACACAGCGGCATTCGACGGGTCGACAACGAGGATCAGAATTTTAGTTGTACACGAGGTATATAGGAGCATGGGTTTCTGTTCTTTTTTTTAAAAACTGTCACTGTTACCATAGATTTGGCGAGGCATTTTAAAACTTAAAAGTATTGAATAACTACAAAGGTAAATAATACAAACTACAACTCATGTAAAGATTAATTATTTTTGGAAGGCTTACAAACTGAATATGAGGGTTTACCTCAGCGGACTATTGACCCAAGCGACCTTCGGCCGAAATCTCTCTGTGAAGCAAGATACTGCCTAAAAGTTTTGTGCAAGGTTTGGAAAAGCACTTATTATTTAGATAGTCACCGAAAAGGGTATATAGTTTTACAAGTATATTTTGAATGTGGAAACAAACCTACAGTAGCCTTTTTAAGGATTTATGCAGGTGCGAATAATACACCTAATTTTTATGTCTAGGATCTAATTACCTTACAGCACGGCGTAAGTTTTGAGTAACTGAGGATAACTATTAATTATTTACTAGGTAGTTTTTAAAATAATTGCATTAATATGTATAGTATATATATTAATAAAATATGTGGCTCGTTCATTTTCCTTTTCCGCTCTTTCTTCTTTTTGGTGTTTAACGGGGCTTCGTTGGTGTAGTTTTTGTTTGTCTAGAGGACCAGCGGTATTGTTAAGGTATTAGTTTTAGTCTAGAGGGCTAGAACAAAGACCAAAGTTTAGCGGGCGTTTTTGTAGAAGTTGATAAATAACTTAGTAGTCCAGAGGAAAGCTAAAGAAAACACTAAGTTTTACTTGATATTTTAGACAAATCAAGAAAATTTTATTAAAACAGATTAAGATATTAATGCTCTGTGAGGTCCACGAGTTCCATTTTCAAAGGCAGACAAGAATCTTAAGAGGTAGGCTCCTGAATCTTTGAGCTGGCCTTGGTTCTAAGTAAGAGGTCGTGGGTTTTAGAAGGTGTTAAAGAAAGAAAGGTCCGATCCTTGAATCTCTGAGATACCACCCTAATTCAGTGAGCTGTAGGGCCCTGAATAACTTGCCACTTATAAGAATGGGGGAGTGTCGAAGTTGTGTACCCTTATAACGGATTAATTGCACTCAACTGGGGGCGTCCTCTCTCGAAATTGCGATTAATTACGACAGTTTGAAAGTTTTTTGCTTTACTGATTAGGAGAAATTTGATATTAGTAACGTTTGAAGTTAGTTTTTAATATAGTTTAGTAATAACTTAACAATATAGTAACAAATTTATTTAACTAATAGATAATAATAACAAACCTTTTTTTGTAGTAAAATTGATATAAAGATAGTAATTACTTTATTATAAACATTGTATAATAATGTATTAGTAAGATGGGCTTCACAGAAAAGCTAAAAACTTGTGGTCAGTTCCTAAACTGGATGATTGAGATTTAGTCGTGTCTTAATAAAAAGAGAGCTTCCGACGCTCACTACAAAATTTCTTTTAATGACGCGACGCAGACAGCGATCGCTTGGGACGCCATAATCTCGAGTATTGACCCAAGCCTGTTTTCCGTTGTCAGAAATATAAAAGGCCAAATGGTCAAAGCAGAAACAGAAGTATGGAGCCACCACAGAGGCCAATGAAGGTAAATTACATGGGGGGAAGTAGAAAAAATTAAGACGAATCTTAAAATAACAGCAATCAAATTTGATTTGGTGAAAGTTAAAAGCTGGCAAATCTGTTGCAGTTTTAGAAGACACTAAATTGGTTGGAAAGAAAGGTTAAAGGCACATTCCAATACCGTTTAAATTACAGAAGATATGACACCTTGAAAATTCGACAGCTCTGTTAATGCTTTTCCAAATGGTGGCCTTTGGAGCTTGTTTATAAGCAATGTGCTCCTCAAAGGTAATTTTTGGAGAAGATGACTTATAGATCCGTCACTAAACTAGCGAAGGGCTGGCAAGTCACTTACCTTGAAGTTGACGGTTTTCATGAAGCTTCGGAGTCGGGGACGATGGGTAAATGAAAACCCAAAACTATAAAGAAGGTATAGTCCTAATAATGGATTAAAGAAAACCTGCGCACTGTGCTAGATTGATACTCAGCAACAAGCCTGCGCAAGGTGCAAAAAATTTGGTCACTTTGAAGATCGATGACCATATTAATACAATATGGGTTGGCATATTAAGAGTCTGTGCGAGGCAAGATTTAATGGAAAAATATTTAACGTACTTAAACCAGATAAATCCGCTTATAATGCTCGCACCCGCCGTCACCAAAGATAAATTTTTTAAGTATTTACTCTCCTTACCCACATGGCAGCAATATTTTAGATTCTGGCACCAGTTGCCATACATTAATGATTCAAATCTGATTAAAAACTTTAGGCCTGTTGACGAGTTAGTACAAGGCCTTTCAGAAACCGTCGAGGACAAGGAAGAGGGCGCATACAATAACGTCAGGTCCTTATTTATCCCCTCAAATCTCTATATTTAAACTAACGTGGGTAAATTATATAACAAAAGGAAAGCAGTACTTTTTTATAATTACAGTGCTTTAATGTTAAATGATGATGAAACGCTAACTAATTTTTATCCATTGCCGAACATTTGGAGATAGCTCAAAGAGGCTGCAACGGGACTTTAAAATGAAATTTGAAATTGCATGTCTTGTTAGATCGAAACTGGAACCATGAAATATTGGGTCACATTGGAGTTACTATATCACCGGATATTTTTGCGGAGAATGAAACTAGAATGTAAATTTATAGAAGAAAATATATCTTGTTTTATATGTAACGAAGCCAATATAAGGTCAGAAAAGGTTAAAACTTAGTAAAGAGTATTCCTCCTTTAGTATTTAAAAAGAAATGGATATTGCTTTACACGGGGCTTATCCGTTACCATTTTAAACTGAATGGGCTATTACGATTATATGCAAACAAACTAACGAGCAATTAAGCTGATGTTTCAGTTGTTGTAGCGAACTTTTTAGATACTATATTGGGTAATAGGTATGACATGGAAAATTCCATCGAGGAAGTGTACCGAGTTACCCCGACTCATGACATTCTATTTGCAAACTCGGAGATATAACTCCTACCTACACAGTGCCTAACAGACCGTCACATAATCCCATTGTGGAGAGATGGAACAGTTTATTGAAATATATGACGAAGTCTATGCTTCTAGGAGCCACTTTACTAGCAATTTTGGGCTGAAGTCATGAACTACGCAGCTTTTATCCTAAATCAAAAATTAAATGCCTGGGAAAAAATTTTACCATGCTGACCCGACTTGAGAAAGTAGAAAAATATGGTACACAAGTAATCATTCAGTGGGATACTTATGAATAATGGCACAAAAGGAATTCTTCAAAGGCCATCCCCGTATTCCTGTGGGAATAGTTACCATAATCATAAAACCGCTACTAATAAACTAGTTAAGAGTAAAAGTTTTAGGGATTTTCTCTAAGTCATATACCAACGAAAAATGTTTTAATCCTTTTACTAATAAGATAAGTAGTTAGTTCTATAATCAATGTTGGAAAAAAGTAGAGTGATGAAGAAGTGAGAGCGGAATATTAAGATAAAGAAGATTAGCCCAATCTTGACACTGATACCCTAACATGCAATTGCACCTAATTAGCAATTGAAGTGGAATTTAAAAACAACGGACAACGATAAAGTGTTAAGGTACAATGTACAGTTTCGGAATTTAAAAGGAGCAGATATATAGTAATTTTCAAAATCAGAGATATTGAACTTAAACCTCTAACTTTCACGGAAATTGAAAAGTATGTATCACATAACGAACAAGAAACATTACTAGATGAAAAAATGGCGTTTATCAACGCCCCAAGAACTAAGAGCTTATGAGAGGAATGAAACTTGGTTAGTCGTTTATGCAACAGTTCTTTATTACTAGTTTTTCCAGTTAAATTATATACCATTAGATTTTATAAACAGGTTTAAAATCTTTTATTATTCTGTTATTAATAGTTATTAATTATGTCATAAATTGTTATTGATTTTATTATAAATTGAATTATCCTACATTTAAATTTTTATATTTTAATTTAGACAATAAGAAGTTCAAACCCGTTTGAATGACACCGTATGGCATTATATAATTAAAGAAGACGACACTTATAAATCTTGACTTTGTTTTAGAGGTTTTTCACAGGTTCATGGCACAAATTTTTATGACGTTATGAGTCTTGTAATCTCTAGGTAAACGGCTCGTTTACTTTCAGTTCTCGCTCATCATTATGCTTTAGAACAACCCAATTTGATTTTAACAATGCTTACGTTAACGCCAACTTGTAGTAAATATATTAGTAAACAAATACCTATTGGGTTTGATCTTATCTACAAGGAAACTTACAATAAGTGTCTATCCCTTAATAAATCTTTGTATGGAACGGAACAAGCGGGTTACAAATGGCCTGAGTTATTTAAATTTAAATCAAAAGGAATAGGTTTTAATTAATTCAAGAATGAGTAATGCGTTTTTTACAGTATTGAAAGCCGTTTCCAAAGCATTCTCTTTATATAGTGGACGATTTGAGGGTTTTTACTAACAAACGCTTCAAAAACACGAGAATCACTTAAGTTAATAGGAAAGGAAGTGTTAAATGAAAACTTTATTCATTTTTCAAATTAAAGAAATAGGGAACAAATTATTAATAATAAGAAATTCATGATAACCAACATCTTACAAGAGTTTGGAATGACCACCACCAAGTCCACTGTGGGTTCTATGGGTAATGGAGCCCTTGAAAACTTGGGCCTTATTATGAAATATACGCAAGCAACCTACAGATACATTAAACAAAACTAAACCGAATAAAAACATCATTAACTAATATTTTTAAGATAAACCCGATTTTAAACATTTGGCAGGGGCTAGGTAAACCAAATATTTATTATAACAACTATGGTAATTATCGACTATGACACATCTTTGAAACGTAACCTAATTAAACATATTTATCCAAGTAATCAAATTTAACACAAATAAATATACATAAATAGTAATGGCCTCTCAACCTTTTGTAGAGGTATGGATATATAAACGGATTGATTGCCCATAATAAATAACTCCCGTACTCCTCACCGTATTAAGCTCCACTACGCCTAACTGCCCTAATAAGAATTTCATAGGAGCCTTGCTATATCTCACAAGCGACATTAGGTCATATATTGCTACTTCATTACATGTTGACGCAATAACCTAAGGCTTATGGAATACCAACACCTAGGTAGCAGCTAAGCAAGTTCTCAGATACTCAAGGAGGACGAAACCTCTTAAACTGATGACTAAACGAAGCTAATTTATAAGGGTCACAGTATATTTTGATGCAAGTCATGCATCTGAACACGATTTAGAAAGTAGAAGTGGTATCATTATAATTATAAATGGGTGCCTAGTTGTTTGGAGTTCAAGCGTCAGAACATAACCGAGTCTTGCGTAGTCAGCCGAGGTTTATAAGTTGCCCTTGCATCGTGCATTCGGTACGCCATATGGTTAAAAGACCTTACATGGACAACCAGTCGGCTATACAATTTGCTTAGGGATATAGCGCTAGTAAATTGTCCCGGTGTAACTTAAGGTCAACTTGTTAAGGAATGCTTGAAAGACGGCGAGCTTATATATATCGCTCTGGGGATATGCTTGCAGATATGCCCTAAAGATATTATATGGAAAGAAATATATTGAATTTTGTAAGAGAATAGTGTTTTTAAGAAAATAGCCAAGGTTGTGGCGATGAGGGATGAAGGGGAAGAGTTTCGAATTAATCACCTCTTAGAACAAAACACGGATTTTAAGTTTGAATAACCGGTGATTAGTATAAAGTTAGACTATTGCCCTCAAAAACTCTGCAGGGCACCCGCCCCCCATTAGTAATACTACGGCGATATAAAATTGTCACGTTATATACTAAAAAGATGACCTGACGTTTTCTTTTCTTGAGGACGCGGAGCTTTTATTTGCTGGGTTGTACAATGGATGGCTGTGATGAGTAATGGAATTTTTTTTAGTTTAACTGTAGATATTGTTTGTATATAACAAAATTGTTACATTAAATGATATTCGCTAGTTATCCTCAAGTGATATTATCTTTTTAATATTAATATATATATTTTAAGTTAATATTTGAATACTTTATTTAATAGATTATTTGAAAAGACACAATACTTTCGGCCAAATTGTCTTAAAATTGAAAATGATGCTTTTTCTCAAAAAGGCTTAGTGGATAGCGATGTTCATAGTTCTAGAGTGTGTACAAAAGGCAGCTACTACCAGCTAGATAACTTTAACTAAAAGATACCTTCTTTAGGAACATTTGTCTAAACTTAAATTTAATTTTATTGAACATCAAACGAAGCAATTATTCATATCAAGTATTAATAATCAATTGAAAGACTTTAACAAAAGTGTTAAGGCTCTTTTCGGTATTTTGTTATTTCAGTGGCTTTCCCCCTCTCGTTTAGAGTATCAACAACTAAAGTTTACCTTGCTTAGTTACCGTCTCTCTTTGACTTCTATAAATTCATCACCTCCTTATTATTTCCTTTATATATAATTTAATTTTATAGAAAGTACGCTAATTTTGGATTATTATAACTAAAGCAATACAATATTTTATTTTTTTAAATAAAAATCTAAGTAATAAAATTTATAGAAGTAATAAGATTATTATGTTATAACATTCACTACCACTTCAAATATAAAATTATAGTTGTTGTGTATACTGAGCAACTACTTCAAACTATTAACCGTAGAACACGAAATTAAACTTATTAAGGAGGAGATCAAATTATTCAAAGATAAAAATCTTTTTGTAAAAACCGCTATTGAGAAATTTGCCGAGGAGATTGGATATAGTATTATATCTAGTATTTTTTTAGTAATATTTATTTAACCCCTTTTTCAAAGATTTCGAGATTTGTAATTTTGAATTGGAGCGGTTTAAAATTTTGTATAACAAAGCTAAAGAACTTGTTCGTGTTCTTATACCTTTATTAAAACTAGTAATGTATGGATTATTTTATAGGAAGTTAAAATTCGAGGTCAGAGACAGAATGAAATTAAAGCTTTAACCATCGGAGGAAAGGTTTTAAGCTTCCTTAATATAATAAATAATAAATATGTTAAAAGTTGTGATTAAAAATTTTACTTATTTAAAACGTTCAGTATGAGCCCAAAAATATTTTGTGTACTTCATTTTTCCTCATTTTAGTTCTCAAAAATCATAACTTTTTTGGTAATTTCAAGAAAATGAATTATTTAATTTTAACAATTCAAAAAGTTTATTCATTTTTATTTAGAATATACATAAAACTCATTTTTATTTTTATTTATAATAATAATTAGTAGCTTCAAAAGTACTAGCTCTTTATAATTATTTATAAAGGTTTTATCACGTTTATTAGTTTATCTTGTTATCTTTTTATTATTATATAACTCTTTTCAGTTTTGTTATTAAAATTGATTTCTTTTAAAATTTATTTGTGCACTAAGTCGTTATTTTTTGATATATATGCAAATGTACGGCGTTACATACGCGTAATATATCAATTAATGAGGAAAGGTTGTAGTTTTGTAAATGATATTGTTCACGTGGAAAATTTTACAGAAATATGTACTTTATATGACTTTTTTAAATTTTTACTCTTTAAGCTTATATTTTTTGTTAGAAAATTTCTTTTATGTCCATTTTTTTTCTTATCAAAAATAGTAGTTAATTAACGTTTACAGTATTAATAACATTAGCTTATTAGTTTATTTTAAGATTTGAAAACTTTATATATGTACAGAATTTAATATTTCATTTTTTATATATATAGTTTATATTTTATATTATTTTGATTTTTCAACCTTTTATAAAATGACGTTTATCTTTAATTTTTTAGTTTCTTTAATTGTAATAAAGTCCTCACTTTACTTAAAGTTCAGATTTCTTTATTAAAAACTACATTGTCAAACCATTTAAATAAAACACAGAACATAATTAATTTCTTTTCTTTTCTTAAGTACTGTTATTATTGCTAAGTGTATGTAACCTTACGTAACCTTCTAACAGAGTTAACAATTGTATGATTTTTTAACTATTATTTTTGGGTTTTAAAATTTGAAATACCAGTAAATATTGATTTTTTTATTTTTTATTTGAAAAATTAAACCTTATAAACTGTCGAGCGTATTGTTTGGGGACGGTGGGCCTTTCTTCTGAACTCAAAAAATTAGTTACGACCTAATCATAAACATTCGGTAGTTGTGGTGCGAGCCCCTATAAATGAGCAATATTGTAGTGTTTATTATATAGTGTGCAATTAATTCATACAAGTAGAAGTAAATATAATGAAATTTAATGGCGTGCTAAATTTTTAAAAAAATTAAAGCTTGTAAGTCAAGTACAAAGTTGTTTACTTTAAGTTTTGCATATATTTAAGGTGTTTAGTACATGATTCATAATGAAGTATACTTTAACTATCACATTGTGAACATTAATAGAAAAAGAATTTCTTGGTTACTATATATAACAATTTATTGTTTAAAGGCTTTTACGTTAACGACGGCCTCAAGGGTTCTAGATTCTCAAGCGCGAAGTATGCATGAATTAAAGGAGCGGCAAGAAAGATTGGACTTGGAAAACAAACGTTTGGAGGCTCTAATAAAGCAGGAAACTTCTAACAAACAGCGATTGCTGTAAATTTATTATTTAAATATATATAGTTTCCTCTAAGATTATTATACCTGAAATTGTATATTTTGACAATATATCAAGTATTTCTTATTGCTAATAACTTTTTACTAAGATTGTTAAGCTTTATTAATTGCAAGGTATTTACACCCCATTGTTAAAAATAGAAATAATTTTTCTAAGAAAAAAGTTAATAAATAAATAATAATCATGTTTAAAAGAGACACTACCCAGCCACTTGTAGAAAAGCTGGAGAAAGAAAAAGCTTCTTGTAATATAGAATTTATTGAAAAGTTGAAAAACATGGAAGATTGGTTTTGATTAAGATAACAATACCTATATTATTAATACTAATACTAATAATAATTATTAATTATAATAAAACTACTTATAATATAGGTACAAAAAGGTCATTAAAGTGAACCAATCAACTGCCCAGGCAACCATAATAGCGAATCGAGATCATGTGGTCGTTAACTGTTACTGTGACAACACTCATACGGCTGAACGAGTTACTTATCAAGTTCGCATAGACATTAATAGCAATACGAGAAAAATGAAAGACATAATGGTAAGTAATAATATTTATAATGTAATAATAAACTATTATAGTAAAGAACTGCATTTAAGGTACTTTATTTAAAAAGTTTTTTTTATTATACTAACTTTATATCCTTCTTTTTGTCTTAAAAAAGTTAAGAAAGTATGAAAATATGAGAGTACTATTACTCTTTTATTTTGTTTACACTATATTTTCTTGTGAAAATACTTTTACTAAACTAATTAGTTTATTAATCTGGTGTGGTTTAGTTAATTCCGAACCTTGTTGACATCCAAATTACCAAAACATGTGCCATTAAAATTGACGATGTGGCATTTTTACTTCGAGAAATTAAGCATAAAATCCAAAGAAACTTAATTGTTGCGGCGGAAGTAGAAGTCTTAAAAGACGTGTATCTCTTTTGTTCATAATTATTTTATATTATTATGTAATCTTATAATATAATTTTTACCATCAGCATACTCTATTATAAACTTTTTGTGTGTATGTTTTTACTTCCCTTTATACTAATACTATGTTTTAAAATTAATTTTTTTTACCTGAAATTGGTATCCTTATGTATAACCTTAACCGAACGATCTTATATACTTGTATATATTTTACCATTATCGTTGCTACCGTGTATTCTTTTTAAAGCTAAAATTATTTTGTAATAAAATTCAAGAAGCCTTTTTTAAATATTTAACTATAATATAAAAAGATATAAAATAGAATGGAACCGTTCAAATTTAATAATATACCACTTGGATGATGGAACTCGCTATGAACTTCTCATCGTTGATTCCTTTCCCGGTTATTATTACTATTATTATAAAATTATGTAAATCTATTTTATATACAATATTGCTTCATATAGCAATATTACTGTAGTATTTAAGTTTTTTTTTTAAATAATGAAAGCAGTGTTTTAATTTTTTTATGAATTGTTAAATTTTTTCTATATAAACGTTGAATTTGCTAGATTCATATAGTTTCATATATTATTGTTCTTAAAGTATAAAAAGTTTATAATTTTCTGATTTGAAAAAATAAAAAAATATATTAACTTTTATGTCATATAAGTTTATAGGACCAGCTATTATAATACAATAATTTAACTTTTTAATTTAAGATAATATGTAATAGTAAGAACAAATTATAATTATATATAAACTTGAAGTAATTATTATAATTTATATTTCTGTTACTAATTATAGTTTTATAACAAACTAATCAATTATGAAAGTAACTGCTCTTTTATGTTAACTAATTTTTTAAATATTTAAATTTAAAAAAAAAAATAAATATAAAAATTGCTATTTGATTTGTATTGGAATAAGAATAATAGCTTTGAATGTAGTAATATAAAAATAAATAAAATTCCGTTATTGATGAATAATTTCAAAATAGTTAATACTGTCCAAAAATAATTACTTGTTTTTTTAGCTTTCTAAAAGTGAATAACCTTATTTGAAAATTTATAATAAAAAAATTTTATTTAATGACATTTTATATCAGTTTTTGTATTAAGGATAGTTAGTAGCTGTACTCATCATAACATGTAACTGGAAAAATCTACACTAGTTGTCATCATGCTATACAGCAATTGAATAATAAAAATATTAAGATAGTAGCATAATAAAATGTTTAAATGGTTATTACATATAAATTAAATACTAATATAGAAAATAAAATATTAATAAAATTTAGTTATGAAGTATACACCAAAAGTAATTTCAGAATACATATAAAAAAGTAAATTATAAAATATAAATCATTAGTTTTAATAATATACATTTTTATCGTTATGAAATATATTCACAGGTCAACTTTACTCGGTAAGCTTGCCCGCACACAGTATGCAACTTAACTTCGAACAGAAAAACTTTTTATTGGTTTATCTCTTTCTTTTATGTAATTGTTATCCTTTCCATCCTGTAATATTCGCTATAGTTTAGTTTTTATTCCTTTCTTAGCTAACTTCTTTTTTATATCATTTTAATTATACATTATATAAATTATTCACAAAAAGATTTATATTTTTGGGTATATTTTTTAAGATTATTTAGTACAGTTATTTATTTAAATTAATTTATATAACACTTGATGTTTTAATACTATATTATAATATAGTTAGTAAACCTCTAAATCTTGTGAAATAATTATTAATTAATGTAACTTATTCTCTGTATAAGTATTGGTATTTAGTAACTGGACCATTATTAAAATGAAAACATTTTTTATATAACTATCACAGAATAAGTTTCAGGGAGAATCTATTGAAGGTTGTCTTGATGCTATATTAGAACTTCATAAGTAAATGCGCATATATTATTATTAAGTTAATATTGGAGAGGTATTATAAATATAATAATTGATTAGATTTATCAAAATTAAAAACGAGTGAAGGGAATTTTACGCCTCTCTGCTTTCGTAATAAAAAAGTTTTAATTTTTTTTTTGCCTATTTGCGGATGTTAATTATGCAAATGTAGAAAGGAAGCTACATTAACTTTAATAACTTGTATTGTTAAATGCTTTTTAGCATTGTGAAAGCGAGTGCAGTATTGTAAATTACTTTGAAGATGTACTATAATCTAAAGTAATCGCCCAAACGTTAAGGGGTTAGAGGTATTTAATACTTGCTAAGGCTTACCTTTACATCTATTGTTTTTGCAGTTTTACTATTTTACATAAATATTAATAAAATGAAGACCTGATTATCACAGTAATGAAAAAAAGTTAATTCTTCGACGTTGAAAAGGCTTTCGTTTATCAAGATGCTCAGGTTTCTGACGCTCTTTTTCGGCGCTCAGCCGTATAAAATTTAAAGCCTATACTTAAATTTTTTTTTTTTTGTTTACCACTTACGTGAAAGACAGTCCTCACCGCTCAGTAGTCGACAAGCTGCTTTATGACTATTTTTAACCAATTAAATACGTAGATGGCTATCTAGGATAGACTTGTTGCCTTAGGTTTATAGCCTAGAGCATATATATACTCACCAACTTAAGGGCGTGCACGAGACTCTATTCTTCGGTTTTTGGCAGTTACCGTTCCACCTCGCCCCTTTAATTCTTGTTATCTCGTAACTTTTGGAAAAATACTATACCTTGCGCAAATATTTAATTTCAAGTAATAGTAACTGTATGTAACCATATCGTTAATCTTTGTTAATGAGAATACCGCGGGTGCAAACGAGGTCTTCTCTTTGTCTCCGGCGCTGAGCACTCAAGTTCAACATCGGCTGAATCTGAGGCTTATCAATAGCCCTGAAACATCTTTGTTTTTAGTCTCTCACAGAAACAGTATACCTTTATTAGAAATCACAAGATGCTTAATTCCAGGTGTACAAGATTAAACAGATATAGACCTTGAGTTGCTCATATTAAACGTGCGTTTATAATTAACGTTACGCTCGCGGCTATTTTACTGTCGACTTACAGGGAGTTAAGACGGTAAAAAAAGGATGTTTAAGAATTTGCTTATAAGCTTGCAGGAAAAATTTATAAACTTGTTAGGAATTATTTTAAAACAGATAACAATTACTTAATGAAATATGAGTAACTAGATATATATTAAATTGGCGAAGTATCGCACCTATCAAACCTTAAATACGCCACCGTTACCTTTTAAATCTCGAGTCTAACAACAATTTCTTACTTTTGTTGAAAAAACAAAAAATTAAACTTTCCCATTTACTTTAATTTGGTAAACTGAAGTTCGGCAGTCTCGTTGTTAGTGAAATTATTTAGAATGAAAAAGCGGGTTAAGTGGTTAAGGGTCTATATGAAACCTTTTGTGAAAAAAAGTTGCCAAGACGGAGTTACGTACTTTTTGTTCCTAGAATTTGCAAGCTATTATTTTTTTAAATCCCTACAACCTCAAATTGGCGTGTCAACGATAAATACTGTTGTAGCTAGTTATACATCTCGCTAGAAATGCTAAAGTAATTTGTTAAGGTGGTAGGAATTTTCTTTTTATATTAATATTAATAAGACTTTTTTGCTCGTTTTTGTAATTATAGCGGTAATGAAGTACGATAAATTGATAAACTAAAAACCTTATTAGATTTATCTACAGTCTCTAGATAAATAGGAGAACTTGTGTAGCTTACTGCTTTGGTTATAATGACAAAAAAGGTATATATCTAAATAGAAATAAAAGCTAATTACTATTCGGACTACTCTGTTGATTTGAAAGAAGTTTGTGTTATATCATCTTTAGCAAATATTAGGTTAATTCGTAGAGCTCCTTGAAGGGCCTGCAATAGTGCATAAATTAAAAGAGTAAAAAGGAAATCTCTTATTTGGTATTTATTTTTCATGTTAACCTTAGTTTTAATAACACAACTCTAGTGCACTTTGTAGCCCTATAGTTATTTAATACAGCGTACATTTAACTTAGTACGAACTTAGTTGCATTAGGAACACTTACTGGATATAAGCGCCCCAACCTTAGGGTCTATCACAAAAATGTTTGTTACTTGTGAGCGCCAGATTATCGGTGTTTGCCTGTATAATTTGGAGCCGGTGAAGTCGTAGCTTTGTTTGCCTTACTTTTTAAATGGCTCTGGACGCCCGGCGACCCACTTCGCTTCCTACTGTAGGAACTGAAAATTTAAGGTTTATTTTCGTTAGGCGTTCACCGCGCAAAGTGTCTAAATTTGACTTATTCTTTACAGTCCTATCGTTGTTATTTAAAAGCTATAAAAACCTTTAAAAATTCAGTATAACTCAAAGATATTGGGCTTGTTTATGTTCCCCCCCCCCTATATAGAAAAATTCTTTTTTTTTTTAGACAAAAGAAAAAAAATAAGAGAGAATTTTGTAGAGTAGTCTTTTAGGAAGTCTCCTACACTTTAGGTAGCTACTTGCTTAGTAATATTGTCGAAATTAGTTATATATATTATATATATTATAGGAAAAAAAGCTTTATTCTGTCATTAACAATCATTCAAATAGTGTATATATACCGTCTGAAAGAGTTACCACTTCAGCACATAGTCGGGTATAGCAAAGGTATAGCTATTTATACTTTGGGTGATAAAACAAGAATTACTAGGGTGGGCATGAAATTTTGTTTGCAACAGTTGATAAATTGCTTGGTTGTTCCTTGGAGCAAGCTAAGCCACTACTTATAATCTATGGTTTATTTCGTTAAGTTATCCATATAACTCTTTGTTTATATTTGCCCATAATGTACGCTTGAGAAACTTTATAAATTATAAGTCAGCTTTGGTCAATACCAAAATATACGCAGTATCCTAGTTATTTATATGTACTTAGCAATTTTCTAGAGAATTTTTATAACACGACAGCCTCAAGTTTTTTTTTTCCCTTATAACTATTAATTCGTCCAGTTTTTATCTTTATCAAATGTCAATTATGCTGTACGGATGCCACACTGGTTATCTTTGTTTTTAGGAAAGTTACACCAAGTTAAGAAAAAGCAAGGGTCTAAGGTCGAGTTTACAGTGTCTAGCCTTAATAGTGCTCTGAAAGTCATAAAGTAGAAAGCCTTGACTTTTTATTAACTAAAAAATAATTTTTTTAATTCAAAAAGTTGCGAATTTTGGGAAATCGATCATTCTTTGCCTTTTTTAAAACCTGATCAAGTTTACCGTTTCGTTTTAGAAAGAAAAAAGCATGCTCTTTACCAATGCTTTCATGCACGAAAGTGAGCTTTTAAAAAAATCATATTTCCCCCTTGAACATACGTATATTAGTAGATATAATTTTTTATTTTTATTTTTTTTGGAAGGTATAAAACCTTATATTTTTATTACTGTCGTACAGACTTCAAAAGGAGGAAGAAGCGATCTTTCAGTTATAATAAAATGATAACTATTTAAAATAAAACAATTTAAGTAGTTTTTAAAACAACTTTGGTATTAAAAATGCTTGTATCCAGCTTAGTTCATTTTTTCCTATAATTGTTAATAACATTATCTGGTGCTTGATCCGGTCGCAAAAGAAAATACCAATTAACGAGCCCTCAGCGGGGTGATAGCGTCCACTTATAGCTTTTAGCTTGTGTTAAAGCAATCCCATGTACATGTATACCTGTTAAAAATAATTCTTCCTCTAACCAATATTTATACATTTCGAGTGCATTGCGCGGACGGCGATAGCGTGCGCCGGCCCAGGTTTCGTAGTTGACCTCATCAGTTCAGTAATTGATGGGGGTGCCGATTGAGCCGATCATAGGTGGCGCTGGCATTGCGATGAAAACCTTTACCCGGAGGTTCAATCTTGGGGTTCTGGTGTAAAACATCGTTGCGGACAAACCCGTCACTCCCGTCATAAGGCGTAGAAGCTTGTTTTGTCTCACTTGAAGCGGAGACTATTGCCCGTGTCGGAGACCAAGACAGTAGACGCGTAAGTCATGGTCGATCGGTTGCACAACAAAGACAAGCGATGTTTGTTGTGCAGCGAGAGTTTACTTCGAGCACTAAGTATAGGGCAGAGTTTGAACCGCCTTGTCCTTCGCCGTGATATAGTTTACGTGTTGCCGCCAGAAGAGCGTATTGCCGTTGATGACTCCATGTTGTTTCGCCTGAGGAGAGCAGGGAATTATCTTACTCTTAAAGGTCAGGGCGATAGTGTAACAAAAGGTCTACACGTAATTTATCGACCGAAAATGTGAGTTGTCACCGTAGTCTGTGGTTAGAGCACTGTCGCGCAAGCTGCAGGTCACGGGTTCGCTTTCGTAGGGGCCAACTCGCATTTTCTGGTCTGGTGGTTGCGTGTACAACTTTACTACAAACAATATTCCTGATATAGTGCGCTTCTTTGTAATAAAAAGACCTTTTTTGCATTAACTATCATTTCCAACGACGACACAAGTATGCAGGTGTCACTAAAAAAGTAGTACTACAGATGCTGGCGCGATAGGCAGGAGACTTTGACAGGAGTAAATTCGCCGTGTTATCAGCAGAAAAGCCAAACTGCTCGTGGGTGTTGTCAGGCAGTAGCGCGTACGTAAAGTGCTGGCTGTTAGTGGGCTTAGGGGCGAGCGCGTATCGCCCATACATATAGCAAAGACGCGGGCCTTAAAGTAAGATCTGATCACGTTAAAAAGAATAGTAGGAAGGGCTATGCGCGCAACTTGTGATGTGCAAGCCCTTGTGCCAAACTCGGTCAAACGCCTTTTCGACATGAGAAAGGCTGCGCCCGTTTCCCTCTTGAAATGGAAGACACAAGTCGTCCATTCTGTCAAGCGAAAAAAGGTTGTTAAGTCGTGGAGCGTTCTTGTCGAATTCTAAATTGGAACTCTGACAGGGCGGGGCTTGCATCAAACTGGTTTAAAGCGGCTCAGTTGACCTCCTCAGCTATTTTGCTAACGGCTGACAAAGAGGCTTATAGTCCTGTATTTGCTTGGTGTGGATGCTGGTTGTGGTGTCTTC